TTAACTATCTAAACACTCAAGATTACTTTACCTCACTGAGCTGTATTATCAGCCTCTCAGTCTGACTGGGAGGACTCTCTCTCCAAATTATTCTAGAAACATCTTCTTCTTATATCCGTTAGAGCAGCTAGCACCAGATTCTAATAACAGCGCCGGTACCGGTGCACCCTCCCTCTCTCCCTCACTCACTCGCATTTTGGCTGTGAGCTGCGGTTGCCAGATAAGCCAACATCCCCCATTTTCATCACTTACATCGCCCATCGTACAGGGCAAATGAAACGTGTAACCGGCAGTGCTGGAATTGGGCCGGTACTCACCGGTACGCAGTACCGGCACTTCTGGTTCTGACCCATGGAGTACCGGCACTTCTTGCTCAGTACCGGCATGCTGGCGGTACTCCGGTACTCATGCACCGTGCCAGTACTCAACACTCTCCCGCCGTTCTTATTATACATCCATATATATATATACAGCCGCCCGGTACTCAGTAGATGCGTCATGAGGTGCCGAACGGACATTCTCATCGCTCTAACCGCTGGAGTTTCACAGCGGCTGTCAGCTGTTTACTCCTGTCATTCAAACAGAACGTGCTGGAGAGGGGGCGGGGCTTATCTTCTCCATGTAAATACTGTGGTGGAAACGACTATGTCAAAATTAACCTATTTGACCGTGATTTAATAGTAATACACGTTTCAAAATAATAATAATAATAATAATAATGCCGAAGTAACAACATACTGAAAACTGTTAGTAAAACCATGTTTTAATGCTTTACCATTTACATACCTAGATGCACGTGTGTTGTGATTATGCAGTGCAACTCCCACCCAGTGGGTGGCTATGTAGAGTGATAGAACAGAGCAGGCACGCCCCCGAGAGAAGGAAAGCAAGTCACGTCACAAATTAGCATTTCTAAAATGTTAGCTTGGATTAATAAAAGTGCAAAAAGACAGCGGTATCGCCGGAAGAAACTTCAAATACAGAGAATGCTGTGCCTGTGTTGGAAATTGTGTCTGATGGGGAGCTTTCTTTGGTTGATCCTCCTGCTCCAAGTTCTAGTGCATTAGCATTAGCACTAGCTCCGCCGCCTCCTCCAGAGCCTCTAACGTTAGCTGCTGCTGGCGCAACTGCCACCACCAACACCGGGCAAAGCGATGCACCTGACTGCTGGACAACGGACCAGGTGCAATATTTTTGCAAGACCAATGCATGGCTCCTTCTTAAAGATAAGAAGCTAGGATGTCGGATATGCAGAGATGTCAAATCTTTGGGAATACACACTGGACAAGGACTGAAACTGTCAACTGAATGGGGTGAGTGTGCAGTGTCTCATTTCGGTGTTGACAAGGGCAAACAACAAGCTAGCCTGAGAAAAAAAATCAAAGAACATAAAGAATCACAAGCCCATGTAAAAGCTGCTGACATCCTTACATCTGCTTCACGTGAAACTATTCAACATCAAGTGCAGTCTATGCATAAATCTGAATTAGACACCACTATCAGAGTTTTTCGAACGGCATATAAAATTGGCAAACATAGCCGGCCATTCACAGACATGCCAATTGATTTGAATGTACAGAAACTGAATGGGCTGAACGTGGGCAGGGTTTTGCACTCCAATAAAACCTGTGGCGAAATCATCGACCACATAGCTCATGAGCTGAAGAAAAAAATGGCAAAAGACATTACAGAAAACCAAAGAAAACTCTGTGTTTTGGTCGATGAATCTACCACTATTAGTGGTAAAACGGTGCTTGTTGTGTGTCTACGCTCAGCATTAGCTGATGCTGAGCCCGAAACGTTTTTTTGGGAGCTGATCGAGTTGGATGGAACAACGGCTGATGACATCACAAAGGCGTTAATGGAGTGTCTTGGAAGAGATTTTAACGAGGACTTTTTAGGTCAGTGTTTCGTTTCTTTTGCATGTGATGGGGCTTCAGTCATGCTAGGGAAGAGAACAGGCGTTGCTACCCAGTTGTGTAGTAAATTCCCAAGCCTGTTTGTGTGGCACTGCTCCAATCATCGTCTAGAGCTGGCAGTTGGGGATGTGGTCAAGGAGGTCTCAGGGCTCAATCATTTCCAGATCTTTTTTGACAAACTCTATTCCTTGTTCCATGCCTCCCCCAAAAATCAGAGGCAGTTAGCGCAGTATGCGCAAGCAGTCGGACAGCGTCTCCTGGTGATAGGGCGTGTTTTGTCCATCCGCTGGGTGGCTTCAAGTGAAAGGAGCGTCAGAGCAGTCTGGGAAAACTAGCGAGTGCTTCATGATCACTTCACAAATGCTGCAAACGACACGAGCAGGGATTCCGGAGACAGAGCAAAGTACAAGGGCCTGGATGATGTGCTCACATCTGCAACGTTTGTCAGCAATCTGGGACTGATGTACGATGCGCTCACAGAGCTCAGCGACCTCTCTCGGCAACTCCAAAAAAGAGAGATGACACTGCCTACAGCAGATAGGCTCTTAACTCGAGAAATACGAGTTTTTGAATCCATGGTCACCATGCCTGGCCCACACATGACTACAGTTCATACAGCTCTAGCTGAGAAGTCCTTCAAGGGTGTTGCCCTGCGTGAGAATGGCAGGCTTGTACAGATTCATGCAGGTCAGTTTTTCCGCAGTATGGTAGAGAATCTGAGACACAGAATGACTTCCACAACCTCCTCTCATGTCAGCACAAGAGAAATCCCATTACATGGCCGGGAGGCCCGGGACAATCAGCTAATCCAGGACATGAAAGTTATCCATCCTGGAAGTTGGCCTGAAGAGGAGTTAGACGTACAGTATGGGGACGTAGAGGTGCTACGTTTGTGCGAAGTGCTGAAAGTGGACAGAAGAGAGACTGTTCAGGGCTTTCGCGAATACAAGGAAACCAGGGCATCCCGTACACCTGCTGCCATGGAGCCTCTACTGAAAGCAGTCCGAACCATCGCTGTCTCCACTAGTGAGTGTGAGCGGGCATTCAGCTGCATGAACGATATCCTTACTGCAAAAAGGAATGCTCTCTCTGTCAGCCGACTGTCCAGCCTGGTTTTCATTAAATGTAATGGACCATCACTAGGACAGTTCAATCCGGAACAGTATGTGAGGTCCTGGCTGGCAAAGGGAAGGAGAAGTGCTGATGAAAGAGCCTGTCCAGCTCCAGCCCCTGATACTGATGTCCCCAAGGCCTTCTGGAGCCTTTTCTAACAATGTGAAGTATATTGCAAAGCAGCTCACCCAGTGAGAAGACTTTTGGCATAATGTGCCGATTTGTACAGATCCTGGAGATAGAAGGACTTCAGACCAACCAGGGAGTTATCTGATCAGCTTGGTGTTCAATGTAACTCTTTACCATGGCTCAGACTTTGTTACTTGCAGTTACAGTTTCTCATTTTAGATTGTGCACATTTTGCATTTGTTTTTACATGTTCTTTGTTCATGCTCTTTATCATTTTTCTGAGTTGGAAAGTTAGATTGCTCATAGATCATAGTTTACTTTATACATATTTGTATTCTTCAGTGGTGAAGTATATTGCAAAGCAGCTCAGCCATGTGAGAAGACTTTTGGCACTTTTTCGTTTTTCGTTTTCTGAGTTGGAAAGTTAGATTGCATTCAAAATGTACAGAAATACTTAATTTTGTTAAAGCTTTTTATAAAAAATGCTTCTGACCAGAGCTTTGTTTCCTTGTCATTAATGTTGAACACCACCAGAGGGGCTCTCACCTGAAAGGTCTCTGCTTCATGTGTCTTCAGCAGAAGATCTAGACTTTGATTGCTATATTTTCAGTTAATATTGACCTTACTGAGCTTTAGCCATATCCGCTGCCTATCATAAAAAATGTTAAGTACAGTGAACCTTTCTAAAATATACAGTAGTAAAGAGACAAACCCACCAGCATTATAGTAGCCAAATTCTTGTTTGTGGGCTGTATATATAAAATTGACTTGAAAAAGTTGCTGATTTTAGAGTACTGGCACCTTTTTCATTCCAATTCAAGCACTGGTAACCGGGGTGAAAAGGGTGTACATTTACTTAATTGTGAATATCGTTACATCAAGGCCGAAAATTAGGATGAGCACCAACGGTCAAAAAATTGTTTTTCCCTCCCAAAACTGCCAGCGCAGCGCCTCCACAGATCTGGCGCCCTAGGCGAACATCTATTACGCCAGCGCTACGGGCCGGCCCTGAGTTCATATGCAACTCGCAAATATATTTCTCTCTTCTCTCTCCTCCCTTATCTCTCCCCTTCTTCTCCCTCTCCCTCTCTCTCTCTCCATGTTGGTGCGCAAATGCGCCTTTTTTCAAATGACCCGGTGCTCTTTTTTTTAGCGGAGGTGCGCATGCGCACCTGCGCAACAGTTATGTGCAGCCCTGCTTATAAACTACGGCTGTGCATTTAATACGAAACAAAAACCTCATTGTACTACATTATTGAAATCTGCTACGACGATATAGAAGAAAAATGTAATTAGCGCATTAGCCAAACATTAAAATAGATTTAATGTGATTTTCTTTTGGTGGGTTAAAATGTGCTTTTCTTTTAATACAAATGAATAATTGATCTCTTCTGAATTTTCACCCGTGAAGAAAGATTGGTGAACATCAAGGAAACAGCAGCAACTGACAATTCATTATTTTTTCATATGACACATGAAAACACGGACAGTTAATTAGTGATGATGCGTCCGTCGCTCCGTCTCTGACACGATGACAGAACAAGTGAGATGACAGCTAATGAGATGTCAGACATTCTGAGCGTCAACAGTCTGTGAAATAAAATGGACGTTTGCTTCTAGGGGAGGTTGAGCGTGAGATATAGGGAGAGAGCGAGACACGCTAACAAAAGAGCTGCTTGCCCATTTACTTCCACGAAAGGAAAATATAAACTCCAATGAAAATTTGCATAATAATTAAGCTTTCATATTAAAGCTGTTCATCACAGATTGAATGTAACACACACACACACACACACGCACACGCACACGCACGAACTAGAAAGGCAGTGGAGTCGCAGGGTCTCTGAAACAGGGTATCCCAAACTTTATTTTATTGGTTTTATCAGAAGTACCATGAAGAGCAGTCATAGTTAGTGGCAACACACATACAACAACTTTCTTCTGATCAGTTGGTGTTCAACAAAAATGAGAAATAAACTAAATTAACACACACGCGCACACAGAGAGGACAGCGGCAAATCATGAGAGAAAAATAGATCAAAACATTGAAAGAAAAAAGAAAAATCTTCATTATGATCAACAATATAACTGTTTAATTTTTAAACCAAATCAAATTAACAAACGTTTAGTATCCCAACTACGCACGAGAGAAGGACAGAGGAATAAAGAAAAGGATGTGGAGGTGGATAAATACGTGCAGGATTAAGTTAACAGATGTGAAAAAGAGACGGATTTAAAATGGCAGACGGTTCTGAATCAGACAGATGGTGTCTCAAGTAAAGACAAATGATCCTTTGAGAGAATCAAACAGATGGAGACATTGTTTTGAACTATAGATGGATATACATGTAAAAAGACAGATGAGGATACTGTTGAGTCAGAGTTACCAAACAGCCAGACAAATGGAAAAAGTGACAATGGCTGAGTCAGAATAAACCGTGAAGAAATGAAAAAGCCAGAGAGATATAAACCGCCCCTCCAATATAAAAATAAAAGACAAAGATGGAAGGGGGAAAAAAGACATATAGAAGAAAGAGTGATAGACACTTTAAGCAAACTTCTTCAAAAAAGGCAATATATGTCATTCTTGAGTGAAGTGAGTGTTTTTGTTTCCATTAAATAAATATGTAGATTTAACTCTCTACGCTTAGCGCGGTGGCCATATAGTCCATCTCACTTATAACACTGTACAGTATATACACACTATTATTATTATTATTTCTTTAATGACAAAATAACCTTTAGATGTACACACAGTATCCCTCACCCTCTGTTAGAGAATACAGTTATGGTATTAGAAGTAGCAAGCAGTCTTTTTTTCTGTACAAATAACCCATGCAACTCTCTTATAGATTATTTATTTAAGATACATAACTCCTTTAAGATCTCCTCTCTCATTCAATAACAGCAGATATTGCCTTTTTACCAAAAAAAACACCCTTAATTAGTTAATCAAACATTAATGTGCAAGTTACTTCTTTGTTTAAATTAAAAACATATTGTTTTAAGATCTACACACATTTGAAAAAAAGACAAAATGTAATCGAACAGAATAAAAGATGAACAGAAAACCAGAATCTGAACATTCGAACCATTTTGTTGTCAACACCAGGGGAATGGGATACGATTCTCTAATACTATATACAGACATGTTATCATTCATGCACAGTGTCAACAAGTAGCACATTGACATTCCCAAATATGAAAAACATGGCATAGGGAGACGGAGGGTAGAAAGGGGATTGGGGAGAAAAGACGGGAACGAAAGGATTGCTGCAGGTTTTGGTTGCTTTGGCAGCAGAGATACAGAGACAGAGGGGGAAGAGACACAGAGGGACAGATAGACACAATAACAATACACATGCTGGGCAGGAGAAGTCCATTTCAATCTCTCTGACCCAGAAATCAATGTATGGCTGTAACTTCATGTTTTTTTTTGTTTTTAATGTTCATCTTCCTCCTCCTTGTCTTCTTTCTCCTCCTAACTCTTTATTATAATCATCTTTCTACAATGTTAAATGTTACTTTAAGGGTAGAGAATAGCTCTGGTAATGTATTTTTCCCAACAGTACAACATCTCAGCATGACGTTGCTCGGCTCGTATCAGCAGGGATGTTTGTCCTTCCTTTTGTTTGTCCGTCGCTGTTGCATTCATTTATTCCTCGGACAGACAGTTTTTCCCGTCAGACAGACGGAAGTGAACGAGGCAACGAAAACGCATCATCAATCTTTACATCAGAAGCAACATCGTTAATGGTTCACAAATGGTTCATGGTTGTTTTCTCTTTTTTTTTTCATCAGGGACAACATTTTTACTGTGTACATCAGTCAAAAAACTAAATCTGTTGTTGTTGTTTACATCAGAAGCAACTTCATTAGTGTTTTCGACGAAACATAAAAGTAGCCGTTTCACATAAGCAACAACCAGTGCAATGCTTTTCCTTCATCTAAAACTCTGCTAGCTTCTTCAAACCCCTCTTCTACTCCTTGCTTGCTCTTAGTGTTATATTTACAGCGGTGGCCTGGCTAACCTTTGACCCTTCAAACCTCCAATGTCCAAACCAAGTAAGGAAGCTAAGCTAAAGCGCTATTTTGATTCTTATCCAGGTTAGCTTAACAGCTCGAACCTGCTAACATTTTGTTTGCCGAGTTTAGCTTCCAGGCTTGGTCCAAACGGTGAGGCTTTGAAAAGCTGTCGTTAATCTGCCATTAGCTTCAAGTCAGACCAGCTTTATAAGTCAAGGTAGACACACTGAAAGAGGCGTTGCAACAAAGCCGGTGTAGCAAAATAACTATATTCCCATCAATTAAAAATGTTTAGCTTCTGTTTGTGCAGCAAACTAATTTGATGCAAACAACTACATTACTGCAAGCTTTTCATTCCTACACAAGTTCACTCTGACAAATGAAGCAGCTGGCACGTTTTAAGCAAATCCAAAATGATTTAGCAATATCTACGATAATTGAAACCCTGTTGAAGTTGCTCAAAAAGCAGCTTCGACAATGTTATTTCCTTTTTTTGTTGTTGCACAAGCTAGCATAACTTTGTACAGTGTATAAACCTTAAGCTCCATGCCAGTGAAGAGACAAATGCATACAAATTGAAATAGAAAGATTCTGGTAAGGTTAAAACGACATGTCTCCTTTCAAATTGTTAATGACATATGATTAATATTTGGTGTTTTAAGAAAGATCCATTGGTTAGAAAACCCTTTACAGGTTGGACTGCAAATAGTAAGTTTCTAATAGAAAGATTTCCCTTTGGCAAAACAGGGGTAAACTGCCACTCCAAGGCCTTCACGAGAGAACAGCTACTCTAACGGAGAGCCGTGCATTGTCAAGAGTTTGGCAAATACAAGTGGCTGTCAAATGTTTTATTCATTATCAGAGTTTATAGAAATGTTTTAATGTTTAAGTTGTTTTCAAAATGTGCAACAATGGTGCTGCAAATAACAAAAGTCTGTATACTACAGATCATTTATTAGAGATTTGGCCAGATTTCCGTTTTGGAGTGGTTCTCCACGCATAATTTAGTGATCAGGTTACAAAACCAAGACCATTTTAATATAAAATCTACTCAAGATAGTGTGGATTTGCCAAACTCCTCCAATCCAGGGCTCTTCTTTCTCACAGGCGATTAAGTTGTCCGTGACAAGATTTTTTGCCAAGATTTAAAGGATAACATTTAGCCCAGACTACTTACGTTACAGATGACAATTCAAATACTAACTATTATATTATACATCAAGTAAAAAACACAACATCAGCAGGAAAATTCTGGCCAATTTAGATGCATATAGTGCCATTCAACAAACTATGGACTTTTTGAGTGCCTTAGGTAAACAGTACGTTTTGTGAAAGTTTAGATCTCTGTGGTTTTAGGGTAAAATTGTTAACAGTCTAAAGTGTAAACCTCTCTGCCAGTTGACAGTCTCGAAGTATTATTTTCTTCACACACTTCTGGACATATTTTAATTGTCTTTCCATAACTGATTAAAGATTCCCAGTTTGTGAGTCTGTTGATATCTGCAGTTTAATTGTTACATCTTAACTAGCAAGCCCACTTGAATAGGGATTTCAAATAAGCTTGGCATATTTATAATATCATTATCCTATTTTATTTGCTAAAGAGTTGTCTTCAAAAGTCTGTGAGCTGGTTCAACAGAATCTATGTCGGAGATTAGATGTACCCTAAGCAAAAGTATTTATTTGTATCTGTGAGTAAGCCTACTTCTTCAACAATAGCTAATTCCTCCATCTGACGGTTTAAGAGTTGGTTTCTAAGCCGGCATGAATCATTGAATTACATAATGTTTCTTCAGTCAAGAGCAAACGTATTGCTTTGAAAAAAAAGACAAAATATAAAGTCAGATGTTCATTAATTCCTTTGGGTTGAGGCCTGAATCATCCACATACCTGAAGTATAGTATTATCTTCAAGAGTTAGAGTGGAGGCAGCCTGGAAAAGAAGATGTATGAGTTAATTTGGAATAAGGCTGGGTACAATATATAGGAAGTCTTTGTAATGAACTGGGAAAAGTCCTGTCCGACAGAGAACTTTGGATCATGGGTCGCTTTTGCCAAAATGTATCTAACTTGGTCGGACATTTTTCATGCAGTCTTTTTTTTAAGATAAGCTGAAGATAGGTCCTAACATCTGAGCAGGTGGTGTATAATGCTATGGAATACAAATCCCTGTTAAATTGCCCCCAAAAGACCAATCTAGGTGAAGAATAATACATCAAGGGTCAGGGGTAACAGATTAGTGGTTGTTTCTTACAAAGCCCTTGAGGATTTTGATTGGTCCACTGACCAGCCAGGGGGAGGTGCTTAAGACACACAGGGATAACGACACAAGCGTTTGAGTGAACCAATGGGAAAGCGGCATCAAAGTTAGAAAAACAATGGCGGAGGCAGTTAAGCAAACTATGAGTATCACAGAGGGCGGTACCTACTTTTGAAAGTCTTTTGCAATGTTACAATTGACACATGATGGCGGGAATCTCATAGGTGGAGAATCATGTAAAAGAATTCCACAGTTTAAGAAAACCCCAACAAAAACACACAAGATTTACCGAGATATTTATGCAATGATTATAGTTTCTCTAACAGTTTTAAACGGTAAAGCGGCCATTTTGTCTTCTCAGACACGGCCTTATTAAAGGTAAAAGCACACTAACCCCTTCTTGATTCATATTAGACCTTAAATCATTTACACCTACTGTATAAAGCAACAGAAAGATGGCCTGTTCAAGAGCGTATGGCGTAACCAAGACATTCAGAAGGAAAATTGTGGAGCTGCAATGTACGCTCAGCACTCAGCGATGTTCAAAACATTTCATATCATTAAACGTGGCCTCCCGCAAAAAGAGACAGCAATTTTACAGGCTGGGAGAGTGGGAGTCAAAAAGACCTTGAATACGAAAGCATATTCAGTCTCACGCAGCGACAGCAAAAAGAGAGGCGGGTTTTTTTCACAGTACTTGACCATCTTCCCACAGCACAGAAACACAGTCACACACCAGCACGCACAGTTTGTTGTCATTAAACAGTTGTGGCAATACATCCGGTTTCTTCTGATTGTGTTTCCAGTATTGTCTGTCCATGCATGTTCATACTGATAAAGTTAGTCTCTCCTTTCCGGTCACACTCAAGCCTGTTACTCTAATTGGACGGGGGAATAGCATCGCTCCGACTGGAGGGGATAAATGGGATTTCGGTTGTTAAAGCCACATATCCGAGGAGCTGTGAGATTGGTCTTCTTAAACTTCCTGGTTTTGTTGAACCTCATTTTCTTCGTTTCTGTTTGGTCGATCCAGCAGTGACACATTGTAGGTGTTTTGGGTTTGGTTTTATGTATTTGAAATGGGTTTGGGTTTAAGACAACTTGATTGGTTTGGATTATAGATCAAGACAAAAAAACTTCTTCTTAAGTGTACTCTTCTATCTTCTGAGCTATGTTTAGCTCCTTTGATTTTCCTGTTTGTCGTTGCCCTTCCATGCATCCGTATTTCCTTCAGGTATGTTTATAGATACTTTAATGCCTCTTTCATTTCTTCATCTGTACATCCATCCATTCATCTGGCATTCAGTCTTGCGTAAAGGGAGGGAGTGATAGATCATGAGACAGCCATCATTTCCAAATCCATACGTTCATCCTCCTCAACTTCTTCCATGTTCTCCTCCTGTCCCACCCTTCCCTTTCGTCATCTCTTGTCATCTTAGAAGCCCTTGATGTGGCAGTAGGCCTCCAGTGAGGAGAAGAGGATGTAGAGGAGCCACAGGCTGAAGAACAGCATGGTGGTCAGGACCTTCGCCGTCCGGGGCCCTCCGAGCTCTCCACCGATATCTGGCCGCCGTCGGTACATCAGCGTGCCGACGGCGATAAAGGCAAAGATAGTGAAGAGCGTGACGGAAAAGGCCAGCTGGCCCGGATCCACCCTGAACTCCTCCCCTCTGCTGTTATGGTAAATGGCTGCGATGGACCACGCCACCTGTCAAGCATCACAATCAAACTGAGTGATATGGCCCTTTATAACGGTGGAGGCATTAAAGGTAAGCACTCAAAAACAAACATATAAATCATAAGGAACTGGATTTATACCAGCTATGAATCACACAATCGGTAAAGTCACTTAATCTCTCAATATATCTATCACTCAATATATCTACCACTCTATCTATCTATCACTCTATCCATCCATCCATCTTTTAATGAGTGGGACTCACCCCGATGCCGAGGAAAACATTGACAGCATTAGAGCCTGTCACATTTCCAATGGATGCATCTGCATACTGATCCTGGGTAGCAGCCACCTTACTGGCAAAGGTATCTATGAAAGAAAAGGAGACAGTCAGTTAGCAGTTTGAACATTCTATGGATTCTCGTGGAAAGGGAACCTCACAAGCCAACCCAAGCATTGTTGCTGTTTGTCTGGTAAAATAAGGGTAGTTAATCTACAAACAGGAATATCTGAGAGAGAGAAAGCAGGGATTATTTCAGTGGATTTGGCAACTTTTTACCAGTTTCCTCCGACGGGAATTAGATATTTAAAGTGGACCTATCATGCTATATTTTAATAATATATTGTAGGGCCATACCTATATAAAACATGTCTGTTTTTTTTTCAAAATACCAAACAGATCATGCATTTTAGCCATGCCTCATTTCGCTCTATTTGCTCTATTCCAGCACTGTTTTTGCAGGGGCTGATTCTGTGACTACAGCGCCACTTACAGGCCTGGCATATGTACTGCGCTTTCGAGCAGTCTTGTGTGAACGGACACGTTCGTGGTCCAACCTCTCATTCCCCTGATAGGTGTAGAGTTGGCCATATAGGCGGAGCTCCTTGTTTCTGACATCAGAGATATTTCAAATCTGTATCAGATCCGTTGCAGCCCCGTTTTTAGAGATTTGGGTATGGAGGAAAAGAGAGAGGGTTGTGTTTTTCTGACACTTGGTGAGTTCCCTGACACACCGGGGACACATTCATGTATAAAAGACGTACAAAAGTGCATTTTGCATGATAGGTCCCCTTTAACTTTAGTGTCACTATGACCTTTCACCTAGTGTCACCATTTGGCCACATGTCCTCTTCACTGACTTGTAGACTAGACACAAAATAAACACAATTCTGGACTTGGACTTTCCCATTTAACTACCATCAGACCAATATGTACTACAGTTTTATGACTGTCCTATAATTTAACCACTAAAGCCTTGAAAAATGAAGCATGGGCTTTTTAAATGAAGCCTTCGCAGACTCACTGCATTGCCCTTGATAAACAAACATGTGCTAATTGTGGGGGAAACCTCTGTGTAGCAATGCAGGAGGAGTCACCGACTCATGAAGGAGACACGGGGAGAGCTGGAGCTTTGATGTCAAACACTCATGGTTTATTTGGGAGCCTCGGCTGGAGAATTCACAAAACAACTTCACGGTAGAGACGCCACGTCAATTCTGAAGAACTCTACCCCAGACCCATGTATTTAGCTAGTTCAGAGAGAACAATCAACATTGTGCAGAACAAGATAGAATCATAACACCTCTATCAGCTGACGCCAACAGGCAGGAACAGGGAGACAAAACACTCAGAGCACAGCAGCCAAGGTTACAGCAGGTGCGTGTGCTCAGTCAGGACAGTATGAACTGATAAACTGGGTCAAAGTTATGGGCCTTGGAAAATATTTCCCCAACACTAAATTAAATACTACCTACTGAATGTTCTGATGTACAAACAGATTTACATGTTGACTTGAACTCCTGACCTCAACATGCAGTAATTTGTGAGTTACACAAGAATTCAGAGGAGGAGGCTCTTGATAAATGCAAACGCACGATTAGAAATACAGAATACTGTGCAAATCCAGTTTCCACATTAAGGCAGAAAACCTTAAATTAGAAACCATAATTCGTAATCCTGTTGCAGTGTTCTGTCGCTGCCAGCACATGCCAAATTTGGTCTAAGATCAATAATGCACAATGCTGAGTCTCAGTTTTCAGGGCCAAATAAATCATACTCAAATCCCAAAGTGTTTCCCAAATCACAACGGCTCCAAAAGGGACTCTATTAGTTGCCAAATCTTAACAATAGGCTTGTGCTGAGAGCTCAAATGGTCAGTTATCGCTCTTATCTGGCGCTCATTTCCTTGCCATCTTCTCTTCAGTCTTTCTTGTCCCCCTTTTTCTGCCAGATACAGTGAAAGGAGATAAATATGGAGAGAAACCCGGGAAGGGATTTGTTGAAGTTGCGGAAAAGAGGATGATGGGAGGAGCAGAAGAGGAAGGAGGAGGGAAGAGGCAATGGGCCAAAGGAAGAGCCTAGCAAAATGAGTCTCCTGATACACCTTAAAGCTTCAAGGAGTCTTCTGTGCTTAAGTGTGTGTGTGCCTCCCTGTGTTCCTGTGCCCGGTGCATGCATGTACACTGTCTGTGTGTTTAGTTGAACTTTACCACCTTGGTCCAATCTGATGTCATGCCTCCACCAGCTGGCCTGTGTGTGTCTTTGTGCATCAAGTCGTGTTTGGGTGCTTGTGTGCACGAGTGAGTGGGTGAGTGAGTGGGTGCTTGCATGTTCAGTAGCAGCATGTGTGTGAAAGAGGTTTCTCTGTGCAGCTCCGTCTGTGAGAGTATGCCTCCCTGCAGAGCTGCCCTTTTCCTCTCTCTTACTGTCAATCAACCAGTGCGCCTATCTTCTCTTTCTACCTCTCCACCCTCTCTAATATCCTCTCCCTCCACCTCTCACTCCTCTTTCTTCTGATGCCGTTTCCCTCTTGTCTCTTGAAATGGAAGCACTCTTCAATGTGCTCATGGAAATCTGGCAATCTGATAATGATGAAACGATATAAATGAGAGCCATGGGGTGAAGTGTCTTGCCTAGGGACACAACGACATGCTGACTGCGGTGAACCTGTGACTTCCTGATCCGAACACCAACGCACAACCCACTGCACCACACGCCTCCCCTATTATATTATAACAAATGTATCAACAAATAAATAATTATCAGCACATTTCCCTCATTTAATCTAGGTACTGTGATTGTTGTTTGTATAGTCATTGGCTTAGTCCATCTGAATTCTCCCTTTTTAGCCTTCTCCCCTGTTCTTTTCAACTTCCAAAAACAAGTTGGATAAAAAGTCTGATGTAACATTGAATACATATCAATTATCCTCCTGGTAATCGTACGATTGTCTCCAATTCTCTGTGTCTGCAAACACAGACAAGTTCAATTGTTGTCTTCTTAAGGCTTTTATTTAATGTACTTAATGACTTTAATGCCCTTGAGGTTAGGGGCAACATTTGAAAAATGCTTTCATCTAAAGTTACTTACACCCCTGCAGTTTGCTTTTGTTTCTGCCTTAGTCAATGTCAGCCTACATATGAAAGGTTTAATATTTCACCTGAAATATCCTGCAAATACAATTTATAGTAACAAATATTTTGTATAGATGCTTTCATTCTCTAATCTAACGTCTACTGCACAATATCTCTTCCTTCTCTGTGCAAATCCCATTTACTGCAATGCCAAATTGAAATGATTCACAGAATACTTTAAAAACCCTCTGGAGGTGTTCACAGATGAGTTTCTGAGGCTTTGCCTAAATCCCAAACCAACAACAAATGATTTGGATTCCTGAGGTTATAATTCTCTTTAAAAGCTTTGCCCCTTTCAATTTCTCCTCATCCCTTTCTGGGTTGGTGTGTGTGTGTATGTATATGTGTGTGTGTGTATGTGTGTGTATGTATAAGTGTGTGTATGTATATGTGTGTGTATGTATGTGTGTGTGTATATGTGTGTGTGTATGTATATGTGTGTGTGTGTATATGTATAAGTGTGTGTATGTATATGTGTGTGTATGTATAAGTGTGTGTATGTATATGTATGTGTGTGTATGTATAAGTGTGTGTATGTATATGTGTGTATGTGTGTGTATGTATAAGTGTGTGTATGTATATGTGTGTATGTGTGTGTATGTATAAGTGTGTGTATGTATATGTGTGTGTGTGTATGTGTGTGTATGTATATATGTGTGTATGTGTGTGTGTGTACGTGTGTGTATGTATAAGTGTGTATATGTGTGTGTGTGGGAGTTGGCCTGGCTAACAGTGATAAACGAGGTTAATCATCATGGAACCACAGCACAGGATGGGTTTTATTAACTGTAATAACCAACGAACTTGAGGTCTGTTTCTCTGTCAGTGTGTGTGATTGTGTGCATTTGTGTGTGTGTGTGTCTGTGTGCCACGGGGGCTATTAAAGGCCTCTGAAAGGCTAACCCACAATGTTTCCAGTCTGCAATTTGACATGGCAATATGTCCATGTGAGTGTGTGTTTGCATTTATGTGTTTCAAGCGGCTGCGTGTGATTGCTTTTGCCCATAAATGTTTCCGTTTGTGTGCTTTCAGACAATATATTTCCTCTGTGTGCATATGTTTGCATTTGTGTGTGTGTGTGTGTGTGTGTGTGTGTGAGAAAGTGAAATGGTATGCAATACATCACTTTTTTCCCTTTGCTCCCAAAATGGGAGGACAGAGACCACCTGAGCCTGACATGACAAATAGCGATATGCTAATAACACATGGTGGACACAGTGTGTGTGTGTGTGTGTGTGTGTGTGTGTGTGTGTGTGTGTGTGTGTGTGTGTGTGTGTGTGTGTGTGTGTATGTGTGCAAGTGTGCAAAGCACATTTCAAGATTAAATATGTTGCAAGTATACAAGTGTGAGTCTGTTTGTCAATGTAATTACAGTTTTGCACTCGTTAATGTGTCTGCATTTTATACATCTAGCATTCAATCACGTGCTACATCTGTGTGTGTGTGTGTGTGTGTGTGTGTGTGTGTGTGTGTGTGTGTGTGTGTGTGTGTGTGTGTGTGTGTGTGTGTGTGTGTGTGTGTGTGTGTGTGTGTGTGTGTGTGTGTGTGTGTGTGTGTGTGTGTGTGTGTGTGTGTGTGTGTGTGTGTGTGTGTGTGTACAGAAGCAGAGGACCAGGGCCAAGGTTAAAGCATATTAAGCCGGCTTTTGCAGTCGCCAGTGATTCCTCACATTTAGAGGGTGATTCATGCAGCTGTCTGTTTCCTCGCAGGCTTCTACAGATAAAGACTGGAGAGACCGGGAACCATACGCATGCTTCAGCATGACAGCATATTTTTTCTTTGGATGTTTTAAAAAATAGCCAAAAGAAAAACTAAACTCTTATTTCAGATAAAGTATTGTTCTTCTACTAATATATTTAATCAATGAAAACATCAAATTGGTCTCTTGCTCTCATCTTGTTCTTATGCAGTTGATTGCTACCATGTAGAGGATCTTCATCAAAATCAACTGCTTATAAAAGACTAAAGCCGCTAAAATATCATCAAAAATGTAAATAAAAAAGTGGCAAAAAATGCTGGAGATTGGATTTGTTGGATTATTTGAAATGAGAGCACGAAAAAATACATTTTACAACACATTGTGTGAATATATTCTGTGAACATCAACACAGTGTGGACTCCTCACATTTTAATATATTTACTATATTCTTCTGTGAGCTACAAATGATTTGTCTCACTTGATTGCAGTTAAAGCTTTAATAAGGCTTTTATAATGCAGTCCTAATTGCAGGAATGAAGCAGTTCATTTATACTGCAGTATGCTGAAGAAAATAAAAGTGAGGATTAAAGCTCCAAATCAAAGGAATGGAAATGTCAAGGTATACTCCCTGAATAAGGGTCACTGATGAACACAAATCTATCCTTAAAGAGACCTCGGGGTAGTTACGCTTAGAGACCTCTCAAGGCTAGATGCCAAATGTGGAGAGAGAGAAAGGTTTTTGATTAAAACTGTCGGAGAGTAAATAGTAGGATATTGTTGTGATCTTCATAGTATGTTGAATACTTAAAACGAAAGTTAATTATAATCAAGTATAATCAATTATATTCTTGTATAACTCACAATGAAAATGTTTCATATGTTATGTGTTTCTATATTTACAGTATAAACAAAGTGGTTTGTTAAGTTGAGTGTAAGGGCCTATAATGGTTTATGGGTGTCACTGATAAGGGAGAAGGCAGTTTCTTCCCTCTCCCCTCACAGCAGTACACACGGAGGGGGGCTCCTGAAATACATTGAGGCCTCCAAAAGGTGGTTATGTCATAGCCGAGAATAATATTTTGCAAGTCCTGCAGGGGTCATGTCCTTTTTACACAAACATGGGAAGGTGTGTCTTATGTCCAGTCCTGTACATCAGAAGCCATGCCCAGTTTTCCACAAATATGGGTATGGAGGAGGTGTTTTGGGGGTTTTCTATCCGGTTTTTGAGCATAAAGACACTGGGTGAGAGAGGGAGAGCTTCAGAGCTGGGCTAATAGCTCTCGGTAAGGTTATCTCAAACTTGGTAATTATCTCTCGATATTCTTTGTTGAAAGCTGAGTGAATTTTCTTTGTGAAATGAGTGGAATGAATTGATGTTTGTTTAATGTTAGTACCCTGCGACCTGTGAGGAAAGGCCCTCCGAATTCATGCGGGACTAGTTGAAGTATACGAATGTCGAAATGAGAAAATGAACTGTTTTGGTGAATGAAAGTTTGAATGTGCTTTTTAATATCACCGATCTTTTAGGAGGAAATGCCTCTAAATTCTATCGGGAGATTTTAAATGTCACAACTGAATTGGGCAGTTGAAGTTACAAATGATGGTAATAAATGTAAAACTGTGAATTAAAGTTTCATATTAGAACATGATCACAGCATGATAGGTTTAGTATGATTATAATGTTGTAAAGAGAGAGAAGGTAGAAACCCTGTATAAGTTTGGACCTATTTTTCTTCAAATAAACTGATCCCACCTTTTGGATTGGGACAACTTAAAAGACATCTGCGCTCTCCTCTCCTGCTTCAAAGGTAAGATTGCACTCTGCCACACTCACACTTAGGTAGGGCCACATCTCATTTACTGATATCAAAATCCTTCGGGATCGCTTAAACAGATTTAAGAAAGTTGAATTGAAACAGCAGTTAATTGAACCTGGTTCTTCGGGGAGTTATTAGAGGTGAGATCTTGCTGACATTGGTGGATCTGAGCCAAGCAGTAAACTTACATAGACTCAGGGGCGCCGTAAGGGGGTGAAAAGTTAGGACGATTCTAAGGGCCCGTGACTGACAGGGGCCCAAACAATTTTAGAACATTAAGAAAAAAATGTTAAAGTAACCAATGTGATTATCTTTTCATGGGGCCCATAATTCCTGGTGGCGCCCCTGCATAGACTCAATCACTTCGGTTAGGTCAATTAGTAGGTCTGAGTAATTTCCTGGAATAAATGATCAGCCCTCCCGACTCTAACAATATTGAAGAACATTAATACAGCGGTGAACTGTATATTAGCGTGAACATAAAGTACGGCACATGTGTTTAAACATTCAGTGAATGTGATCGATCGCACGCACACGCACACACACGTACGCGCGCGCACACACACACACACACACACACACACACACACACACACACACACACACACACACACACACACCACACACACACACACACACACACACACACACACACACACACACACACACACACACACACACACACACACACACACACACACACGCACACACACACACCTGGTACAGAGGTTCCCAGTGCCACAAACACTACTGCTGTGACGGAGTCCTTGAGGCCGACTGTGCAGCCAAAGTGAGAGGCCAGGTCACCTGTAATCATAAAACAAACACATTAAACTTATAGAGATTTTTTCCCTTTCAATAACCTTGAAAAATGTACATATATTGTACTCACACTACCTTACTGCTTTGACATTTTAATTAAACAAACTGCAACTACTTTTATGGACACTTTTATAATGTTCATATTATTCTGGGTTCATAGACACCCTATCCGTTTTTAAGAGTGCGCTTAAGACCTTCCTTTTTGATAAAGCTTATAGTTAGGGCTGATTAGATTCAGCCCCTAGTTTTGTTGCTACAGTGTATAGGCTTAGTTTGTCGGGGGACACCTTACTTCTTCCTTCTCTCTGTCTGTACCTGGGTACTCTCATGTTCCGATTAACCCAGCTTCCCCAAATGTATTTTTGGTGTCTATCTACGCTGGGATCCTGAGTCGTGGATGATCCTGTTGCTGTGGTCCTGAGTCCTGGATCGCGAGCCCTGGATCCTGAGTCCTGGATCCTGCATCCTGATCCTGCATCCTGAGTCCTGCATCCTGAGTCCTGGATCCTGAGTCCTGAATTTGGAGTCGTGGCTGAACCTATCTCTACTTCTACTTCCCTGATGACTCCCACAGGATTTTTGATATCCTCGTGGATTCATCTTCTTATTATAGACACACGCATTTCCAAACCTATGTTGTAAATGTATTATCTCTTCAATTTACACACAGCATCTATTGCACGTCTGTCCGTCCTGGGAGAGGGATCCCTCCTCTGTTGCTCTCCCTGAGGTTTCTCCCATGTTTCCCTTTAAACTGTGGGTTTTCTCTGGAAGTTTTTCCTTGTACGATGTGAGGGTCTAAGGACAGAGGGTGTCGTATTGTCGTACTGATATTATGTACACACTGTGAAGTCCACTGAGACAAATGTAACATTTGTGATATTGGGCTATATAAATAAACATTGATTGATTGATTGATATATTTTGCATTCTAACTTAATCTGTACATTTCAAATTGTGTAATATTTAGATACCTTATTGATATTTATACAGTATATCTTTTCTACTGTTGATAAGTAAACTGTATATTCATTGTTATTCTATATTTCTTTTATGGGTTTATATTTTTACCTCATGTGCAATGTCTGTTAACATGCTTCAGTAAAAAGAAATGCCGAATTGGGATAAATGAAGAATATCTAATCTACACTCTACTGACACTACTAAAATTGTATACACTTACCAGTCAATATGTGTGATGAACATGAAATAATATTAGTATCCAGTCATTAAATATGTCATTATTTGCCTGTTATGGACTTTAAGTTACTTCTTTTGATTGGCTCAAGGTATTTGTAAGATATCGGCCTGCTAACCGCCGTCACCGGTACGATCACAGCTGGTCACAGTATGTTATGATCTATAATGTGTCTTGTCAGCTATGATCGTACCAATGACGGCGGTCAGCAGGCCGATCATACAGATCGAGACCACGAAGCAAGCCCAGCCGTTCCAGTAGTCTGTGGGCGGGACGAAGGCGAACAGAACCTTCCAGAACACGGTGAGGAAGTGCATCACGTAGTCGAAACATGACGGCAGCTTCTCCTCCCCGCACTCGTCATCGTCATCATCCTCTCCTGGGGAGAAGGAGGAGAGAGAAAGAGAAGGTTAGAGAGGAAGATTTCAAGGATTCATGGCTTTGTCATTCGTGCATAGCTACAGTGTAGTTATGTCGATGAAAATCTGAGGTCAGAGGCTCCACCAACAGTGCAACACAATAAAACAGATAAAATAGTGCAAGTAAATACAATCAAATAGAATAGAAGTAGTATAGAGGAAGATGGCAGAGATTACCTTCATGTACCTGCAAAGGATTAAACACTACTGGTGGTTTACAGGCATCAAATTAGATCATTGAGTTCTCATTAGGATTAAGCTATTTGCAGGAGACCTTCATTTCCTCGTTCTTATTCCACGGGCAATAGAAATTGAAATGAGTACTACATGTAAATGAAGTAATATGTATCCCAGTGAAAAGTAATTAATCTAAATATCTAATCAAAAACCTGGAGCCTTAGACCAGTTAGAGACATCATGACTACATCAAATGTGGTTTGAGTGTTACTAGAATCAACCTTTTTGCTGTAATAGGCATACAGCACAACCTCTAAAATAATGCAATGAAAATAGAAATGAGACTTTCTCAAAGTTGATGTTGAACAAATCTATTTCTTTGTTTGACAGACTCACATGAGACCTGCTTTGAAAAGGATATCATTAGGATATAAGATCCATCCAAAACTGACCGAAACACCTACAGTGCAAAGTGTTAAAGGACACTGTGTCTCTCTTCTTCACTAACATCACACACACACACACACACACACACACACACACACACACACACACACACACACACACACACACACACACACACACACACACACACACACACACAACACACACACACACACACACACACACACACACACACACACACACACACACACACACACACACACACACACACACACACACACACACAACACACACACACACACACACACACACACACACACACACACACACACACACACACACACACACACCATTAGCAGTCTGTACACTCCTGCCTGCTCCATTTATAAATGAATAAACCAAACCTGCTGACTAGGTCAAACCCTGTGAAAGAAACCGTGGTCTTATTGATTTCACCCTGATCATTCACTCCCTGCATACTGATTGCCCTTTCTTAGAGCTGGTGATGCTTTTAAATGCTCAAAACAACGCACACCAAAAACCTCTGAACATCTGCTTGTTTATATGATTTTATCGTACCTTTTGTATTGACATATTTCAGGCAAAGCGATTCATCCAAGTGTTCAGAAATGTTTGATTTTTAACATTCAATTACAAGAGTTTTTGATTGGTTCCTGTAAAATCATACAGCTTTCTTCGAGGTGGCTTTCTTTCTTTAATTAGTGTTTTAAGTAAACATTTGAAGACTCCTCAATGATCGAATAAATGTCCTACAGGGTATTAGTTTTCACTATTTGAATATGACGTTTTGGGAACGACAACAAAATCCTGAGACACTCTCTTTCATGAACCCTTCAATTTCAGTGATGGATAAATTACCTTCTTTGGAAATATTTCATTTGGGACTGAATGCACGAATACATCAGCCTTGGTAAAACTGTCATAACAGATAATACAACGGTAAATCATCTTCACAAAACCAAACTTGAAACTGTTCTTCGAATTTTAACCACATACTCTTAAAGTGACGGTCGCACAACTTGACAACAGTTGATGACTCTGACCTTCTGTAAGTAACATATTTAAGTCATTAAACAAAAGTCACGGACCACATCCAGGCTGTGTGTTTTACGATTACGATAAATTAGAGAGGGATTCAATGAAGATTAAAGTACTTTACCAGGGTCAATGGTTTCCTTGTTTAATTTAATTAAAAAGATATGCTTCCTTTACTGCGAGAGCACTTGGAACAAATCAAATCATCAACTATAAATGAAGGTGAGTACAGAGAGCGAGAGCAATCACACACACACACACACACACACACACACACACACACACACACACACACACACACACACACACACACACACACACACACACACACACACACACACACACACACACACACACACACACACACACACACACACACTTTCCCTATACAGTAGTTCTCCTTCCTTCCACACACTCGGTAACGGCTGAATAGAGCCATTTCTAACTCTCCCTCTTCCTTTCCTCGAATATGTATAAGTGCTCTTTTGTCACAGCCTTGGACTCTTTCTTTGGTCTTTTTGTACATTTCTGTTCCTGTGTGTATGGGTTTTAATTTCTGTTCGTGGGTGGCTAAATTCAAAATGTTCTGGTGATCTCTTTGGGATAATACTTACATTATACAATGACTTCACAGGTGCGCGCTAACACAGGGGTTCCCAAACTTTGCCATGCCAAGGACCCCCGTATAGCATTACCCTCTGGCGGGGACCCCCCTGTTGCAATTTTTTAAATGATGTGTACAAGTGCCTCCCGATGGAACATGCAGTGCGTTACCACTACATTTGGGGCCTTCTGCCTGATCAAAGCTGTCACTCTGCTTTTTTTTGCCTGTCATAGCCGCTGCCCCATCTGAACACACACCCACACAGCGAGACCAGTCAAGTCCATTTGAGGTGATGTACTCATCTAAAACTTGGAAAATGTCTCTTCCTGTGTGTTGTGGAAATAATTATCATAAGACGCCAATTAGTAACATACAGGACAAACCTTGATGTCTGTTTACCTTCTTTAAGGACACAGGCGGCTTAGCCAATAATGTTATTGTTCCCATTCTGTGACCGGTCAATACTGGGATACAGATGGTCTGTGTTGTGGGTACACTGGGACACTTCCTTCTCTGTATTTGTGGACTCCAAGGTAAAATCTTCGAGGTCATAGGTGTCCGAGGCAAGTAGCTCTGTGTTCCCACACTGTTTAGGCTATCTCCTCAAAATATGTTGTTTACTCTCTGCGAAACCAGTTAGATGGGCTGGCAAGAGAGAGGCTCTCCAGAATTGACGTGGCAACTCTACCGTGAAGTCAGAACCTCTGACTCTTGGACTTGTGATGTGAATCCTCCGGCCGTTAACTCCAAATAAACCATCATGTGTTTGACATCAAAGCTACTGCTCTTCCCGTGTCTCCTTCCTGAGTCGGTGACTCCCACTGCATAGCTACACAGAAGTTTCCATTACACTGTGGTCCTACCTTCCAGTGCTTTGCAAAATAATAGTTCCTCAACAAAGTTGTCTTCTGAAATAAATCTTACGTATGCAAACAATTCTGCTACATCCGTGCTCTCATCCAGCTGCAGAGCGAAATATTCACTAGCTCTCACTTGCTCCAGAAGCTGAGCAGATACTCAGTTTCACTCTCAGTAGCGGCAGCTCGATTCTGATTGGCTTGAAGGGCGGTCGTGTGATTCAAAAACAAAAAATATGAAAAGATTGGCATCAAAGGACACATAGATTGATAGATATGCAGTTATTAATAACATCTAAAAAAAGTTTAAAAAAAATAAAAGTTTAAAAAAAAAAAATCCTGTTTCCCTCAAACTTTGCGTGACCCCCCTGGCGCCCCCTGGCGGCCCCCCGGGGGGTCGGGGCCCCCACTTTGAAAAACACTGCGCTAACACACACACTAGTTGTCAATTACATCTGACGAAACACATTACTTATGCCTGGGTTATGGTTGCTAGCAATGTTTTTTAAATACGAAAAAGTGCTTCATTTATGTACTGCTCACCAGGAGGTCACTGTGTATTGGGAACAACGTACACAGTGCTGAGATTATTGTCCAATTTGACAAAGTGGCATTACCACAGGATTACAACTTCCTGGTCTGTCACATAATACCATTGGCTCCCAAAACACATTTCCCCGTAGACTAACGTTTGGGAAAGAGATTATATTACATTGCATTTAAAAGCTGACACTTGTATCCCAAGTAACTTTCAAAAAGTGCAATAAATCATGAAGATACAAAGTCAGAAAAGCAGATATATATTCGCTCCAAATAATCCAGACCATTGTAAGGAGATAATGTTGTTTTTAGGTAAACCAATTTTCTAAAATGAATACTTAAATAACCCTTATTTTCATGATTAGGTCCTAAGAGTTGCACTAATAGTTGTATCAAGAATGATGTCATAAAGTTATTGGTTATCTGTATTCACTAACTTTGAGTTACTGCTTTTGATATGTATATCTATGAGCCCCTGCACCAAGATGTTCCTCAATATTTATTTGAGTTTTGTCCTTCTCACTCTCTCTGTCGGCTTTATTTCTTTCTATGCCTGACTTGCAAATTCTATTATCTCGTGTCTCAATTGCTCAGTTACGCCTTATACTGATAAAGTGGTCTTCTCCTTCTTAAACACTCTTTTCATTCTTGGTCACACTTTGCTGACACAGCCTTTTTATAATTGAATATGCACTGTCACTTTCTCGCTTCATCCCTCTAAATCTCCCTCATTCCTTTACAGCCTATTGTGACTCTCTAAATGCTATGGACAGCCTCCTCACTCTACTTTGCCTGATCAGTCATCCTTGCAGTTTATTTTGAGACTAAGATGAAATAAATGTAAAAATATTGTCCCATGCAACAATGAAAACAAGAAATGACACATTAGCATGACATCAAGACATATCTAATCACACACACACACACACACACACACACACACACACACACACACACACACACACACACACACACACACACACACACACACACACACACACACACACACACACACACACACACACACACACACACACACACACACAACACACACACACACACACACACACACACACTCTCTCTCTTGCTGCTCACTGAGCGTGGCCACAGGGCAGACTGCAGCTCATCTCCACATGCTGCTAGCCAAGCGGGGTGTGTGCACTTGAGTGTGTCAGAGTGTATGGAATGAGCATGTACATACCACTGCCTTTTACACAAACACACATCTAGCGTCTCATTGATGCACGGACTAGCACACGGGGCTTTGAAACTGATGTGGACAAATTAGCTCTTGTGCAGAAAACTCCAAAGTAGTTTCAAA